AGCAAAGTGTATAATCATAAGTTCTAATATTTGAATGTGTTTTCTTGCTAGTTTATCATTATAGACTGAAACTAAAACATTCATATTAAATATTATTCATTCATTTTGGAACACGCACTATTAAACTATGAAAAGAGTTCGATAAATTCACTACACTAATACTTTTCCATAAAAGAGTTCATACATAGTACATACATTTTAGATAAACTATAATAGGTATAGTTTATGATACATCACTCTACGCACTCGTACAAGAAGGGTACATTCATACAAGAAATATTTATTTTCACACACATTTCACGTAAACTTGTTATCCTATATTGTGAGTTTCTCTATCTCTCTCCCCGTACGTCCGAGTGCGGGATATAATTCCTGGTAGTTATAATCAGAATCTCCTTGAGGGAGAACGTGATACTTGTATATAGATCTATATTGGGATTGACACCCCACACCTCGCTGCTAGCTACAGTGGGATCTGCAGGTCTACGGGTGACAAATGTCATTTCATTTTTCGCGACACTGAGAACGTCGTGGCAGGTTCACATAGTCATAGTATGATTATAACGGCTCACATAGGGAACAATCCATAAGTTTACGGGATTTTATTTTTAAAACCTAAATGAGTTTTATGTCGATTTAAAATCACCTTTTATCTCTATGGGTACAAATACAAAACGTCGGGTCTCTATACAAAGTTATTATGATATTAAAACTATATTTCCTCTAGAATTGTTAGATTTCAACTATAGTTGCTGAGCGTATATGTTTGAGTCATATAAGAATTTAGTCATGATTGGCCTAGAATTGGTGGTGCCCGCCTCATCTCCTGTTCCTCGTTGGGTTGTGGACCTGGGGCAGACCCACTATATTCAACGTTTTATCTAAGTTAACCCTTATATAACTTTTATACGCTGGACGATTATAGAGGAACTCTACAGATTGCTCTAAGGTTCATTAATGCATCATGCAGGATTATTTCTATTCATACTTAACTAAGAAAATATTGGATTTTCTGGAAATCAAACTAAATCGATTTTACAAGGAAAAACGGTTTCTACTTCAAACAAAACTCTTATGAACTCACCAACCTTTGTGTTGACACTCTTTAAAACTACTTGTATTCTCAGGAAATCAGTGAAACAGGAAAACTTCATCGCTTTGAGGATGGGACGCTAAACCGTCAACAATTTATTTTGTCATCATAATGTAATTGCTTTTGAAACATGTAAACATATACTTTGGTGTAACTTTTGCAATTATATTTATGGTGGTTGTTTTTACTTTGAGCACTATTATACACGTTGTTGTGATACTGTACATGAAGTCCTCCACCCCCAGACGTTTCCGCCATCCTTGGTTTGGGGGTGTGACACCTAGCAACATTGGAGATCACATGGTCTAGGTTTAATAGGACAACTAGTTGGGGAATACTCAAAGAGGTACTAACACAAAGGTATGCTCACTCCTATGATAATTATTTTGTGTTTTTTCGTTAATGATATAGGGATGAATCTTTATTCTTAATAATGTTGATAGCTTTTATAGTGGAATAGTACGGATTGTTCCAGATTAGCACTACCTATGTGAGATGGATATGAGGTCGCATCTTTGGGAGCTGATATAGCTAAGCTCTCTAAAGTCTCATGAAGAAAGGATTGTTTACGACCGAAATGAACACAATAGTAAGAAATGATCTATGCTTAGATATGATATGTGTGATACTTCTTGTGTTTTATTCTATTATAAAAAGTGGTTAGTTCAACACTCTAGTTCACTATCCACAAAATAGATCCAAGTAGTACTCACTATGAAAGGTTCAAGTTTTAAAACACCTATTTAGATGCATGTCATATCTTACTTCACTTATTTGAATATCAAAGTTCTCTTATTTTCTATCCAACTATGGAGTATTTTTGGAGTTTGAATAAAAAATGTAGGGTATTGTTGGAATTTTGTTAATGGAAAACTTTCTTTATAGAACTTGTCCCACATTGGAAGAAAGAGGAAACTTACACTCCCTTAAAAAGCCTCCTACTAGTTGTTTACTAATTAGATCAAAAGCTTAGATTAAAGGGATTGGGTTGGATTGGGTGATTAGGCTAGTCAAATTGGTCTTAAAAGACTTATATATATATAGATCCGGTAAGAAATTTTTTTTGGTAGGAAGGTAAGAAGTTTTTTTTCTACATATTTTTTTGACGAACAAAATAAATGAATCACTAGATGATTCATTTGTAAGATGCTTCACAAGAAAAAATTCCCAAAAAAACATCTTTATAATTCATTTTTAATTAAATTAAGAAAAAAATTCATTTTTATGATAATTTTAGTGAATAATAACAAAATCATTGTATAAATAAATCATCGAGATGGTTTTTTGAAAAATTTTTCTTGTGAATCATCTTACAAATGAATCATCTAATGATTCATTTTGTTTATTCGCGAAAAAAATATATAGAAAAAAAAACTTTTTACCTTCTTACCAAAAATTTCCTTCTTATTTGATCTTGACTCTATATATATATATATATATATATATATATATATATATATATATATATATATATATATATTATATATATATATATATATATATATATATATAATGGTCAAAAGATTGGCCTTGGGCCTTGTGGTCTCCTTGACTAATCACATTATTTTTATATATATTAATTCCAATTTTGACTTTTATTTTATATTAAAAAATCTGTTAAATTCATTTTAATTATCTTGACTATTATTTTCGGTTAACAGTTTTTTGATGGAAAAACAATTATTAACTTTTAATGTATATCTATAAATACATCACCAAAGACTAGATTTCGGGTTCAGAAAAACACACACATCCCTCATATAATTTCGTATTCCACAAACAATAGAGAGAGCATAGTAAATTTCGCCAGACTCAAGAAAAGATATTAGGTGAGATCCCTACCAGAGAAATTTATGTCTTAGGACACTGCAATTGGAGGTCTCAATCTACAATTTCGAGTTTTTATTTTCTGCTGTATACTTCAACATTCAAGTATGTATTCTTATTTATGAATCTTTGATTTATATAAATTCGATTTGTTTATATTTCTGTTTATCCATTTTGGTTTTTGCTTACTTTTGTGATGTTGTGGTTAATGACTTAAGAGGGTAATAATGTTTCCTGTTTGTCCATTTTAGGTCCCTAACGTATTTTTTGTGCGTATTACACCATTAAGGTTATTATAACTGTTTACAAATAGTCCTTTTAACAGGAAGAAGCCGGTAAAATGATTATTTATAAACGGTTATAACAACCTTAATGGTGTAATATACATAAAAAATACGTTGGGGACCTAATATGGACAAACCGGAAACGTTATTACCCTCCTAAGTCATTATCCCATGAAACTATAAACCCCTATAATAAATTTTTACTTTTTAAATAAGAAACTTATAGGTCTTGATGTTGGTAGTTTTGATGTTTTTAACATCGGCCTTCTTTATAAATGGAAGTGGTGGCTTCTTAATAACAATGGAGCTCTTCGAGTTAAAATTGTCAAATTTTATCATGGGGAAGGTGGTGGTTTTTCGGACGATTCGAGAATAGGAATTGGAGGGGGTGTTTGGCAAAAGATTGTAGGATCCATCCATGATGTATTCCTTTTAATTACATGTATAGAGTGGTGGGGGATGAGACTCAAACGAGGTTCTAGAAGGATGTTTGGTGCTTGGATATTCCTCTTAAGAAGCAGTTCGGGAGGCTCTTTGCTTTGGCCTTTAATCAAGATGCTCGAGTAGCACCAAACATCCTTCTAGAACCTCGTTTAAACATCCTTCTAGAACCTCGTTTGAATCTCATCCCCCACCACTCTATACATGTAATTAGAAGCAATACAACCATTCTCATGGAGGTGATTAATGGATCCTACAATCTTTTGCCAAACACCCCCTCCAATTCCTATTCTCGAATCGTCCGAAAAACCACCACCTTTCCCATGACAAAATTTGATAATTTTAACTCGAAAAACTCCATTATCATTAAGAAACCGCCACTTTCATTTATAAAGAAGGCCGAGGTTAAAAACATCCAAACTACCAACCCCAAGGCCTATAAGTTTCTTATTTAAAAAGTAAAAATTTATTATAGGGGTTCACAGTTTCATGAGATAATGACTTAGGAGAGTAATAACGTTTCCCGTTTGTCCATATTGGATCCCCAACGTATTTTTTTTGTGTATATTACACCATTAAGGTTGTTATAACTGTTTATAAATAATCCTTTTACCGGCTTCTTCCTTTTAAAAGGACTATTTGTAAACGGTTATAATAACCTTAATGGTCTAATACGCACAAGAAATACGTTAAGGATCTAAAATGGACAAATAGAAAATATTATTACCCTCCTAAGTCATTATCCCATGTATTTATTTATTTTTCTATTTTTAATCAAACTTGTTATCGGTCCCCAAACTAAACATGCCAAAATTAAATAAAAAATCTTATGTCCCCTCCCCACAACTTAAGGTCGGTTGAAAAACAGTGTTTGAACTCTATCAGTGGTGCCAAAATTGCCCACCCCTTCGACTCTTTTAGGGTGAAAGTGTAGATTCTTCGTAAAGAAGTTCGGTCTAATCGCATAGTGTTCTTCTTAACAGGTATGGTTTCGATTTCTTATGTACATCTTGTTAGTTAGGGTTCGTTGCTCGACTAGGAAGAAAATGGGACATGCTACATCTTGATTTTAGAGGACCTTAGTCGGGTTTTGTGAATCGTTCATTTAGTTATAAAGATTAATAATGCGTTACGATGCTTTTACGCTATGTCCATCGAGCTTGTTAATAAGTAGAACCTGTAATTTATGAATCTGTGGATACGTCTCTTGCAGTTTACACGATTATCTTCAACCCACATCCAATATGTCCTTCCAAAGACTTTGGATGCATCCATACCCGATTTTGACCTAAAGTGGATACCGGGTATGTTACATTTTGCACCAACACAACATCATTCAACTTGTGTGTTTCAAAATGGGGAGTATTTTCAAAAGTCTTTCTGTTATAAGAAATCCAATAAAAAGCTTTGTTGGCTTTATTGAAGCAAACATTTCAGTTTTAAAACATTGTTCAAAACAACGTTTGATCACAGAAGGCCAAGTTCTCCATGGCCATTTGTACAAAATTGGCATTTCATCACATAGACATGTAGCAATCAAATTACTCATCATGTATCTGGATTTTAGAAGATCATCTGAAGTTGATCAATTACTTAAAGACTATGAAGGGTTTGATATGATTGTTCACAATTGTTTGATATCTGCCAATGTTGATTGGGGGAACATAGATGAAGCCCGCAAGCTGTTTGATGAAATGCCCGAAAGAAACGAGGTTTCTTGGACTGCTTTAATTTGTGGGTATTTAAAATATGGTAGAGTGGATGAATCCATGTGGTTATTTCAAAGAAACCCTTTTCAGAATGTAATTTCTTGGACAGCTGCAATTAGTGGGGTGTTGTCAAATGGAATGCATTCAAAATCAATAGAACTCTTCTTGGAAATGTTAAGATCCGGGGTAAACCCTAATAATGTTACGTTTGTTTCTATCATAAGAGCTTCGACTGAAATGGGGAACTTTTCATTAGGAATGACCCTTTTGAGTTTAGCTATTAAACTTGGATATGAAGGTGATGTGTCAGTTTGTAATTCTTTAATAACATTCAGTTTAAGATTAGGCAAAATGGAAATGGCTTGTGGAGTCTTTGAAAGAATGGGGAAAAGAGATGTGATTTCTTGGACAGCAATCTTAGATATGTATGTTGAAATGGGAGATTTGGAAGAAGCTCGGAAAGTGTTTGATGAAATGCCTGAAAGAAATGAAGTTTCTTGGAGTGTTATGATCTCAAGATACACCCAAAAAGGTTACGCAAAAGAAGCAATCAGACTTTTTCGTCAAATGATTGAAAATGATATTGCCCCAAATTCCTCTTGTCTTTCTAGTGCTATTAATGCTTTAGCTAACCTTAAGGCATTACATTCAGGCAAAAACATTCATGCCTATGTCATGAAACTAGGAATGTCAAACGATGTTTTTGTTAGTAGTTCACTAGTTGACTTATATGGTTCATGTGGAAACACTGAAGATGGGCGTCTAGTGTTTGACAATATCAAGAACAAGAATGTTGTTTGTTGGAACGGTATGATTAGTGCCTATAGCTCAAATGGAAATCTAGAAGAAGCTAAAAAGTTATTTGATCAAATACCCATGAAAAATATCGCGTCATGGAATTCAATAGTGTCGGGATTCTTAGGAAACGAAGAATATGGTAAAGTTTTAGAAGTTTTCAATGATATGCTACTTTTAGGTCAAACACCCGATGTCTCCACCATTTCTAGTGTCTTATGTGCTTGTGCAAACTTAACCTCATTACACAAAGGAAAAAATCTCCATGGAAAGACCTTGAAACTCGGGTTTCAACATGATGTATTCGTGAACACTGCTCTTGTTGACATGTATGCAAAATCGGGAGATATCGAAAACTCTAAGAGAGTTTTCAACAAAATGCATGAAAAGAATGAAGTTTCTTGGACTGCTATGATTCAAGGGTTAGCAGAGAACGGTTTTGGAGAAGAGAGTCTTGAAGTGTTTGAAGAAATGGAGAAGACGAGTTCCATTAAGCCAAATGAGCTTGTTTTGTTATCAATCTTGTTTGCTTGTTCTCATTGTGGACTTGTGAACAAAGGTCTTTACTACTTCAACTCAATGGAGAAATTATACATGATCAAACCTAATGAGAGGCATTACACGTGTGTGGTGGATATGTTATCTAGATCAGGGAGGGTGAAAGAAGCGGAGGATTTGATCATGTCAATGCCATGTGAAGCAGAGGTAAGTGCATGGGGTGCTTTGTTGAGTGGGTGTAAAACATATGGTGAAGATGAGATAGCAGAGAGAGTGGGATTAAAGATTCAAGAAATGGTGGAAAAGAAGTCATGTGGGTATGTGTTGTTATCGAATGTTTATGCTTCAAGTGGGAGATGGAGTGAAGTTATGAAAACTAGGAATTTGATGAAGGAGAGAGGGTTGAAGAAGAGTGGAGGGTGTAGTTGGATTGAAGTGAGGAATGAATTGCATTTGTTTTATTCACAAGATGGAACTCACATGGATTTGAATGATATCTATGTAATCTTGGAATTATTGAAGTTTGATATGTTGATTCTTGAACATTGATTAAAATGTTGAATGATTTTCCAAGCTTTTAGTAAATAGTTCTTTCATATTGTGGGAGTCCTTTTTACAAGAAACAAAGGACATTTGATTTGATAGAATGAAACTAGTTTATGTTGATTTGAATTTCAAATTGCTCTTGAATCAATTGTGTTATATAATATAATTATATAATTTTATGAAAAAAGATCATCCATTATTCACACTTAGCTTTTATTAAAAAGTCTTCTTTAAAAATGTTTCAGATAATTGAAATGGTAGTTGAGTTGAATTGCACTACACCATCCAATTTAAACATCAAAAGGTATTTCATTTCTCTATTACTTCACATTAACTTCAAATTCATCACTTTGAATCATGTTCTCAAGCCCAATTTTTGTTTGCTGTGATTAACGTTATTGACTAAATTTGTTGAATAGCATGAAATTGAAATGTATGTTTTACAATTGATGATCAGTTTGTGCTTGAATTATGGGACTCAAAAAATCCCTACATCAACTAAATTTGGAAAGAAAGGAAACCCTAGATTGAGTTTACAAACAAGGTCTTGTTTGGGAAATGGAAATGGTGGTGTTAGAAGTGATGGGATTGGAAAGAGAGATGGGGTGATTATTGTTGATCATGGGTCACGTAGAAAGGAGTCCAATCTTATGCTAAGTAAGTGATGTGTTCTCTTTCTCATCAAGTAAATGATGTTTTAAAAATATCTGAAAAAAATCATGAGAAACTTGAGGAAGTGTAAGGAACCTATAAATTGATGTATTTGTGGTGATTTGATGGGTTGCAGATGAATTTGTGGCAATGTTTATAGCAAAAACCGGGTACCCAATTGTTGAGCCTGCTCATATGGTACTTTTTTTTTTGTAGGGTATAAATGTTTTTAATTGAAACCAATGAAAATTTTACTAAAAGTTTTATTTGGATATATAAAAATAGGAGCTAGCAAAACCATCAATACAAGATGCTTTTCATGCTTGTGTTGAAAAAGGTGCAAATCGTGTGATTGTAAGCCCTTTCTTCCTCTTCCCAGGGCGACACTGGCATCAGGTATACCAAATTTAACATCCTACTTTTATATTTTTTTTATTCTTGACAAAATAATTTATTGATATAAATAAATAATTTTTATTTTTTTGAGGATATTCCTTCCTTAACTGCTGAAGCTGCAAAAGACTATCCAGATGTCTCATATTTGATAACTGCACCTCTTGGACTACATTCACTTCTTCTGGTACCAAATTACCGATGTCTTCATTTTTTTTTTTTTAATTTTACTATTACTAAATAAACTGTCTGAATCTGAGTGAAATGACCATTTTACCCTTCTTATATTTCGTTTTTGTTGTAAACAGGATGTAGTGGATGACAGAATTAAACATTGCTTAAGCCATATTGCTGGTGATGCAGAGGAGTGTGCAGTTTGTGTGGGAACAGGAAAATGTCGTCTTCATTGATTTAATATATTTACAATTTAGCTCTACCTTATATTTTTTCAATGTTGTGATGAAAGAAAATCTATAAACAAAGTTTTAATTTTCAGGTAGAATAATTTTTTATTATTTGTATAATCACTCCAAGTCAGAGTAAATAGAAACGTTCATTATGAGTTCATTTTATCTCATATAATATGTCATCATACACCTTTATGGCAGATTCCAAACAAACTTTTATTTATGTGTCTTTTTATATTAGTTGTTACATTAGATTTTGTATAAATTTTGATGATATTGTAACAAAACTGAAACTTGTGTTTCGAATATGTTGCCATGTCAGCAGCAATTTTCGCCATATCATTACTTCAACACATAACATGTTAGAAATTAACTAATTTCTCAACAATGGAACAAAATAAAAAGTTGTTGAGGTGCGTAGCTGGAATTTTTTTTGAATATTTACCGACATTGTCCCCTTTAAAAAACCCAAAATTTGTTAAATATTGGTTATAATTCAACTTCATGTGCTTGTGTTTTGTTTCATTTTGGAACAGCATAGGTGGCAAAGGAGATTTAACTCTTGATTCTTGAAGCAAAGTGTTGTATAACTATACTTTTGTTTACTTGTATACATTTTAAAAAGTTTCTTTATATATACGTAATTATTTATTTACATTTTAACAATAGTAGCCTAAGCTTTTCATCTAAAATGCCGATATTTTCTTCACCCACTCCCACAATCCCGAAAATTTCTCCATCTCCAATTTTAAGCTTGCACTTTCTCGAGCATGTGCCTGTGCTTCTGTTTCTTGTTCCACATCGTATCTTACTATAAAAAAATTGCATCACACTTATAAGAAATATCATCAAAAATATTATAAAATAATACTCTTACCATTTTCGGAAAAAAAATAATTACCATTTTTTGGTTGGGATTGAGATTGTTGCTGTTTTTGGAAGGTCTTGGCTGCCATGAAGACATTTTGAGGTCTTTCCCATCCTTGTCCAAATACACCGTGGCCTTGTTTAGGTCGTGGGATGTTAAAGTATTCAAGTATTGCTAACTCTTCTCTTTCCACCCAATGGATGCAATTCATTGGGCATGAGTCCACTGCTACCTGTTTTTATAACTAAGTGACTAAGTCTTTCCCTTTTAGCATCCTAGATATTTTGCAAGAAATAGCAACATACATCCTTTGGTTTGTTCATTGTAATATCCTACTTTCATTTCTTCCTATTACAATACTTGATTTTTCAAAAAAAATAATACTCTAAAAAAGGAAATATATTTGGAAGTACAATGTTGTAGTTGGTAGAGTTTCAAAGTACAATTGCTTAAGAAGAATAAGGATTAAAAGTACAATAATGAAAGTGGAATTTCGAAAGATAGATCATTATAGTATGATATCTATCGTAGTTTAAATGAAAGTGTGTTGCTATTTCTTGCATTTAGCCATGTTATATTTACAAGTAGTTTTTTGGTTACCTCAATGCTAGTATCATCATCTCCAAATTGAACATTCACTCGAGCACATCCAATAATCTCATCCATTATGAATGTATTATGGGCGTTGTGCACACACTCTCTACACCCTGTTAGAATTCAACATTTCAACTGTCATAACTGTAATTATAGGCCCCACCCTATTTAGGGTTAAATGCAAGAAACGACAATGTACTTTAATTTCTTCATATTACAAATTCTATTCTCAATACTTACCTACCTATAACAATGTCATCCAGATACAAAGCAATTTTCACTGCTATGATTGGGTGGATTTTCCAAAGTACAATGTTATAATAAGAAAAAAAATGAAAGTGTACTGCTATAATTTAGCAGATTTTTCAAAGTACAATGTGTTAATAAGAACGATAATTGAATTAAGTTGTTGTCATAGAATTAAATGAAAGTAGGATGTGATAAAAAACAAACAAATGGAAGTTTGTTTGTATTTTCTTGCATTTAGCCTTACCTTTTACCATGTGTTTTAACTTAATGAGGTTCGGTTGTAATTTAAGATCTTTGTTGCAATTCTAGTTTAGGATATAATTTCATAGAGGAAAATTTGACCTATGCAAGCTTTCTCATCGACAAAGAGCGCTTGAGGGCGAAACGGTCCATTCCATGAGCTATAACCCATGTCTAATGAATCTCCAACAAACCCGACCCTTACATGGCCAATTGAAGCATCATAATCTTTTCTTAAATCGTCTTTCATTAGCACATTATACGCTTCATTCAATAGAAGCGTATGTTCATGACCCTGAAAACATGACATGAAATTATGAATAATCTTATTCGAAGGAGAGTCGTACTTTGATCAATAGATATCTACCAAACTTGACCACTTCATAAAGTTTTATTATGTATCTGTCAAAGGAATTAGAATATGAAGGAATTGAATTATGTCATGCGTTTAATTAGATGTAAATGAAATGGAATTCGTGAGCCGAGAGGAGATTATATGTGAAATGCTTGGGTTAAGAGGGCATTAGTGTAATTTTCACAAAGGAAAATGTTGGGAGTTGAATTATGTTGGTTTTCAATCGGTCAAAGGATTTTGTGAATTCCAACGATAACACAATTCAATTCCATACTCATTTACTAGATGTGACAATTTCGAGCCATTTAGTATGCTTTAAAAAAAAATTGAAAATTTTTAAATCGGTTAAACATGTCATCAATGAAAGTGTATTAAGTGATTACAACAATTGATTTAGTTCAAAAAGTATATTACTTTTCCAACAATATTGGTTCTTTTTAGTCACATTTATTACATTACTAATTTTGATAAATATGTATTAGGTGTGAGACATACGGGTTCATTTAGAAAAAATGTTAAATTGTAAATAATAAGTATTTTTTTAAAGTAAAATTTTGTAATAAAGAAGGAAGAAAATTATTTATTGCAATTTACTATCACATTCATTACATTTAATACATATGTATAACTATTATATGAATTTTTAATTTTAAAAATTGAAAAAAAAAAAAAAAAAAAAAAAAAACAGAAATTGACATGTTAATATTATTTATTTCAAAATTAACTTAAAATGACTAGCGTTAAAACTCATGAAATATTGACATGAGGCGAAATTGATCATAATTTATTATAATAGATGTGAAAGAGAGAAAGATATTGGGACCTGTTGGCCTGCAATATCAGGATGATATTTCTTTTGTAATTTTCTGTAAGATTCTTTTATTTCTTTAAAATTGGAGTCTACAGATACGCCAAGCAACTCGTAATAATTCCCACCATTTCTTCGTGTTTCAGCAGGGTTTCGCATACAACATCTGCTAATCAATATAAATAGTTTTATTTTATTTTACATTTTTTTTACAAAATCAATCTTTAAATAACAACCAAGTGTCTCATAATCCTGTAAATAAAGTATTCTAGGGGATTGAAATAGACTAGACAAGATTTACATGTCGTGTTTAGAAAACATAGCCGGTAGCTATCAGCAGAAAGTTGTAGCTTTTATTTGTTAAAAATGTTCAACAAAAGTGACCGCTAGCTTTTAGATATGTAAAATTATATAAAAACTGAAAAACTAGAAGTTTGAAGTAGTTTTTTAGATTATGAGTTTTTATTTAAATTAAAAGCAAAACAAAACTTTTTGTTTAATTCGATTTTACTATAGAAAACGTCCATAATATTATTTTCCACGATCAAACCAAATAAATATTATATTTACGTCTTTTTATTTTACATAGGCGAGATCTTAGGATAAAATATAACATTTTGTTGTCCCTACTAACATAGTATTTAGTACAAAGTGCTTTTTGATATCACAAAGGTATAATAAATACATAAAATCCGGATAAATAAGGGATGAACATATGTATAATATATTATCCAATATAATATTAATGAATACTACTTTGAAGGTACCTTGAGACAGAGAATTTTGGACGATTGAATCTATGGCGGTGATGAGTGGTTATGACCGGATTCAACACCTCCGACAGCCGGAATATTGGGAAAGCCGACATGTCTTTTCTTTTTTATATTAAAATGAAATGTAAGGTTTTTGTGGGCAGAGATATATATATATATATATATATATATATATATATATATATATATAATATATATATATATATATATATATTATGAAGGGATAATGATAATTTCAAGTCTAGTGAATGAGAATATTCAAACATGAAGATATTTTTGTTATTTTAGATATTTTCATAGTGCACTTTTCGTTGACGTGGCCTTCATTATCATCATCGTCGGTACAAAACACAAATACACTCATAAGACGCAACCTTTATGGATTTAGATTTGAATTTTCTAAAAAAACATTAAATAAAGAGTAAATTATGGTCCCTATGGTTTAAGATAATTTGCGTGTTTGATCCCTAACTTATTCTTTTAACTCGGAAGGTCCTTATGTTTGTTTTTGTTACACACTTGATTCCTGTCTTACCTAAAGATACTATTTTTCCCTTGATATTTTAATTTATTTAAGTAAACACACCCCAACCCCACCCCACTCACCTTACCTTACCTACCCCACCATTTTTTCTTATTTAAATAATAGTCGTTTTAGGTAAGACAGGGACCAAGTGCGTAACAAAAACAAACTGTAGGGACCAAGCACGTAACAAAAACAAACCGTAAGGATCTTCCGAGTTAAAAAAATAAGTTAGGGACCAAACGTGAAAATTACCCCAAATCATAGGGACCATTCGTGTAATTTACTCTAAATACAATTCATGTTGGATTAGTCTCTATTGAATTATTATGTGTTAGTTGATAGCCACAGCCAAACGAATTGTTGCTGTGGTGTAGTGGTTATCACGTCAGTCTTACACACCGAAGGTCTCCAGTTCGATCCTGGGCAGCAACAATTCATTTTTAGCCTATTTTTTCACTCAAAATATGTTTCCTTATGTAAGGTTAAAAGGTTATTTTTTTTTACAATACCATATATAAGTAATAACCATATCAAGTTATTTTAACGTAACATAATCAATTTTACAAAGCACCTCCTACATGAAAAGGATTTAAACGTATTAGTTTGTTAAGAAGAAAAAAAGTCAACAATTAAATCATTATTGAGAAAATCCTAAAAAGAGATCAACAATTTGAATAGGTTAAATTTATTGGGACAACTTACAAAAGGTATCAAGAACAATTGATCATAGGATCCTATAAAGCTCTACCTCAAATTATAACAATTTTTCAAAATAAAAATAAGAGATCAACAATTCGGTCTCTTGCATTTAACT